GGGGAAAAAAATAACAGCAAATTATTATCAGTGATTTTCTTTATAAAATAAAAATACTTAGGTCCCAGAAACTGTTTGGAGGAACTACTTTGGGAGTTTCTTAGTTTTGAGAATATTATTCTTTAGTTTTTGGACTCATGGGAAATTGAAATGAACTCTCTTCCAGCAAAGTTTGCATACCTACCCATCTCTCATTTACCATTCAGACTGACTTTTTTTTTTCCTCCTTAAGGAAACATTTAGGAATGTTCCTTTTGAAATGTCTGAGTATACTCTTCTAACTTTTAGGTGATCCACAACCGAACTGTCTGCACAGGTTCTCTCTGTTCATTCCTTCATAAAATAAAAAGAGAATGATTTTAGACAATTGTTATGGTGCCTCTGCCTCGTTTTGGCACTTGGCTTAGTGCCCGTTGCCTTTGGTTCATATCCTGGAACTAGACTGGTGAACCCATTCTCACTCTCCCGTGCTGTTGGCACTCTCCAAGCTGGTCCTAAGCATTTCCCTCATCAGTCTGTTCCAGGAAGTATTGTGTGTCCTAAGCTTCTCCATGGACTTATTAAACTCACATGCTGTTTAAGCAAAAACTGGGGCAACCATCATTCAGAAGAAGGGGTAGCTGGTTTGCTATGGTTCTGCCAAATTGTCTCCACCCTGAAAACAAGCAAACAGCACATACGAAGTGTCTTAGATCTAGTTCCAGAGGAAACAGGCCGTGATAGAGAATTGCGTTGGGGAAGTTTACGGGAGCGAGCTCCTGGGACACCTGTGAGGGGTGGCAGAAGCAGGGTTAAGCAGGGGGAGAAAAGTGGATCTGAGATGAAGTCACAACAAATATCTCAGCTGATCCCACAGGGGATGACCCCACTGGATTATCCCATTTGTGCAAAGGGGCAAGGCTTTTATACCTGACACTGAGCTGTCATTGGATGTGGATTCCATAGCAGGAGAGAATGGGGCGGGCAACTTGCCTTCAACACCTGGGGAATGAGTGCCTGGGTTCTGAGAAAGTGATCCGGGCCATGGTCCACCCATTTCTAGGCAGTATTCTAAAAGCTGAATTGCTTTCTTGGAAGCAAAGATGTAGACACATTTCCCCCCATTTTTCAATATGTTTGTAAAAGGATTAAGGACTCAATAGAAGAGGGCCACACAGTGCAGAATGTGCAAGCTATCTTTGCCCATTTGTCATGCCCTCTATTTCCTGTGGGTTGGACAGTTACCACATCCACGTTTTATGAAAAATGAGGCTTTGTATTAGTTGGTAAAAAAAAAAAAAGCTGAATAAATGGACAAACCACTGCTATACTGAGACATACACAACTTTGCCAGGAATGCTCATGCTCATAGTGTGTGTCCCTCACTTTCAAGGAGCTATTGTACACACCAGCCCACAGACACTGCCGCCTCCATATCTGCAGCAAGAAAGCAGTGTCCATGCTGCGGTGCTTTTCACATGATCTCTGCCTCCCTTGCCTGATGCCTCAGAAAGCTCTCCCATCTCCCGGAAGAAGGGGGACACGGGGGGAGGAGGAGGTTCAGAAACCAACTCCCTCCTCTTGAGTTGACCCAAAGCCCAGAACCCACAGTGCTGAGCAGTATGAATTTATATGCAGTGATGCTCTAGTCAATGGTCAGAGAAAGTTTTTTGGAGAAGAAAGAAATAATACATAAATTAAACCTGAAATCTGTATAATAAAGTCATCTTGAGTAAATGTAGGGATATTGAAGGTGACTCAGTCATTATTTTATCACATTAAGACCTTTTAAATATTCACAATTGATCAAAAAGAGGGAAGAAATGAGTTATTATACAAAACAGTTAAAAAACTTGATAGCATTCAATCTTTACTTCTGCCCAAGTGTTAGGCATATTCAAAGTTTTTGGTCATTCATTTTAATTTTAAATGAGGTAACTTTTCCAAAAGTTTATACTGCTAGACATGGCAGAGCCAGCATTAAAAATGATCTCTCTGGTAGAAAAATATATTCATCTAGAGGCCCGGTGCACGAAATCCATGAATGGGTAGGGTCCCTAGGCCTGGTCGGTGATCAGGGCTGATTGGGGCCTTCTGGCTGTCAGCCGGGGCCTTCCTTCCAGCTGCCAGCCAGGGCCTCCCTTCCCTGGCTGCTGGTTGCTGGCTGGGGCCTTCCTTCATTCTGCACCACCCCCTGGTGGTTAGTGCACATCATAGCGAGTGATCGGTCTCCTGGTCGAATTCTTGTGGGGACAATTTGCATATTAGGCTTATATATATATATAGATTCTTTCAAGAAAAGTATCCATAAAGAGAAATGTGTCATTAAAATAAAATACTGTTGTTATCTGTAGAGTTACATTTCTGAAAAATTGAAAAATATTGGGCTATGCATGCTGTAGTTCTATTTTTTTTGGTAGAGTGCGAAGAGTGATTCTGGGATTAGGAGACCTGCATTCATTACCTGGCAAAGAGCTCTGGGAAAGAAAATGGACCTCAATTTTATCATTCATAAAATTAGGATATAAAATTAGAATGATAGAGATCAACATTTTAGATAATTTAATGCATTTGACATGAGACAAATCTTAAACAAGGTTTCTGGTGACAGAACTATGTTATGTCCCAGAACCAACCTGAGATATGTTGAAGGCTGAATGCTTCTGTGGTTACATACAGCATTGATTTAGCAGGGGGTTCCCCCAGAGGAATGTTGTTTTGTTGAAGTCCTGCTGACTCCTTGCTTATTTTATTTTTTATTGATTTCAGAGAGGAAGAGAGAGGGAGAGTTAGAAATATCAATGATGAGAGACTCATTGATCAGCTGCCTCCTGCATGCCCCCTACTGGGGATTCAGCCCACAATCCGATCATTTGGCTGGATCTAGAATTGAACTGTGACTTCCTGGTTCATGGGAGGAAGCTCAACCATTGAGCCATCCCAGCTTGGCAACTCCTTGATTGTTTAACTATCTGGTGTAGAAAAGAAGATGGAAGCTGATATGGTAACAAATGGGGAATCCTGGATCTTATTTGCTTTACTGGTAAATGACCAGAGAAGGAATAAACAAAGTAAGACAGAATGTTTGGCAAATATGTCTGTTTACAAAAGAATTGTATAATAAAAAAAATGGATTTACTAAAGTTTTGGGAGAAGGGGATCCTTATTCACCTGTCTTGTGGTTTTACACGGTAGGATCATAGGAATTCAGTAATGTATTTGGGTTCAAAAGTTGATTCTGCAATTATACTGGGAAATGAAGACTAAAAGATGGGAGTTATATTATAAATCCACGTGAGTCCAGTTACCTCTCTCTCGTGTAAACTGCCATGAATGTGGGGACTGCAACCCACAACAGGCCCTATGTTTGAATATTGTATTTAATTTTTTTCCCAATAGTAGGAATGAATAACTTAAATGATCAGAAACCATGAATTTTATCACTATGGAATATTTATATATATGGAGAGAAACATGATAAAAAAAACATAGCCAGAAGACTGTAACAATAATTCTAGGTATCCAATATTAATTAATTGCCTCCAACAGTCTCTGCCTACATTACTGTGGAGTCTTTTATTCATTTGAAGTAGCTTAATTAGGTATTGGTCTAAATAAAATCTATCTTTTCCTTGTGCGTTTAACGAGGAAATAACTTTCACATAGCTAGTTAATATCACCTGGAGTTAAAAGTGAGGCGAAAGAGAAACTGTTGCAGTTGAAATATGCTGATTTGACTATTTCTTAGGAGATATTGGAGGATGGAATGCAGAATTCTCCTGGGGAAGATAAGGAGGATTGGTTGCCAATACTGACTTAAAAATACTATTTAAAAAAACACACATACTAGTTTCTTTTTTCCTTCTTGAAACTAAAAAGTACACTATTTAGCTTCTTTTTAGCTTCTAGTGTTGTAAAACCACACTTTATATCCAATATTCAATTTATCAGGAAAACAAATAAGATATTGTTTCCTTGTATGTGATGCCATTTTTCAGTGTGTTTCTCTTTTGTTTTTTTCTTAGTAGGAAAGATCCTCCCAGACATATTTTCTTGTATCATTTATTTTTACATGGCTTAAATACCATTGATGTCAGAGCATATTGATCACTTCACTGAAAAAAATAGGCTATTGAAAAGTCTAGTGTTTAAACGCCAGATGTTAAAATATTTTTAATGTTGAATTGAATTGATAAATGACCCCTAACCCGAATGCTTCCTCTAACCGTAAGAAGCAGTCTTTTTTGATTGCTAGCACCTCATAAAACATGGATTTTCATTTACTCTCCTTGGAAGGCCTCTGAGAATATTTGCATTGTCAGCAGCTAAAATTGACCACAGAAATGATAACGAACTAATTTAGAAAATTGTGCGATCATTTAGGCACTGAAGACGTGTGCAAGGTAATTAAAACCAAACTTCAGGACGGTGAGTTTGACTGCAGTTGGCGATTCTGCAGCTGGGGTCACCGCTGGAGTTGTACGAAGGCATATGTTCAATTACAGTTGTAATGAGGAACATGGGATGGATTGATTCTTCATTTGCTGTGCTCATCTCCAGAGGATGCAATGGCCTATATTAAAACAGGAACATAGAATCTTTTGTGGAGGATAATAAAATATGCAAGATAATCCACACCACGTGAATAGATGGTTGGCATATGGCTTTTCTCTTTGGGTCTAGAACTGTTGTCCTTAGCTGCTGTCAAGGAAAAGACAAATGGAAATGTTCACTATTAGCCACTTAGGAATGAGATCAATGCCTCTGATCTCCTTAGTTTGCTCATGATTATTCCATGTTAACAAATACATATTGTTCACAAAGGTGTTCTTAGTGGATATGCACTTATAAGGGCATCTTTGTGTTTTGTTATTTTCTAAATCAGCAAAGGAAAAGAAAAATGCACATTATGAAGTTTTTTGTTGTCTCATCCATTGTACACAAGACATATAGTAAGAGATATAAAGGAGGCTTTTTCACTTTATTTCTTTTTTATTTTACAATGAAAAAAGCAAACGGCATTTCATTTTTAGATTTTATTCTACATGTTGATATACTTGAAAATACTAGTACATACTCTTGGATAAACTTAAAGAAAGACTTATTACGTCATGTTGTGATATAGGCTAATATTTGGTAGGAGGACCACCTTTTGATTTCATGAAAACTTGCGTTCATCTCAATGATCATTCTCTAAAGTTTGCAGAATTACACTGAGCCTGGCTATAGTCAGGGCTCTACTCTTGACTTTAAAACAAAACAAAATAAGATAAGACAAATACAATCGTTCCCTTTTAAAAAATGCAATATAGAATAAGATCTTGAAATCTCTGATTTGAATAAATAGGTGAAGGCTAATTAGAATTAGTGAAAAAATGCGCGATTAGAAGATGCATGTTTAAGTCAGTAGTCTCATTTAAATAGATGTAGCTAAGAACCATTTTTGCTTTTGCCCTGCCCATCACTGCCCTTTGGTGCACTGCTTTTCCTTAGTTCCTGTCGTGTGGGGTGCAAAATCCATACCTCGGCAACTCTGGTCATGTGACTGAAACTTGGTCCATCACAATGCCCACATCCCTTGTCATACAGATGACTCTAGAGCAGTTGTTCTCAACCTGTGGGTTGCGACCCCTTTGGCAGTCGAATGACCCTTTCACAGTGGTCGCCTAAGATCATCCTGCATATCAGATATTTACATTACAATTCATAACAGTAGCAACTTTACAGTTATGAAGTAGCAACAAAAATAATTTTATGGTTGGGTCACAACATGAGGAACTGTATTTAAAAAGCTAGAAGGTTGAGAACCACTGCTCTAGAGGTTGGTTATGTTATTTAGACTTGGCCGATACAAGTTATACCTAGGCTGTTTCCATTGTAATATCTTGAGAAGAAGGTCTTGGGTTTTGGAGTTGGAAGTAAATTGGATGCAAGGAATAGCTGAGAACATAAAGCCAGTCAGAGATCAGAGGACATGAGAGCCACAGGGAGCCGATCGTAGCTGCTTCCTGTCCAGTGCTGGTGGGACACAGAGCTTCCCTTTCTTTCCAGTATTCCTCCCAAACATCCCTCTTTTTTCTTACTGCTTAGTTTAAGTTGCAAAAGTCCTATCTAGTGAAACAGACAGGAATTCTTAATGAATGTGATATTTGCATGTAATTAGGCTACTTCTACTGGGTATCTTCCCTTAAATATGTCATGGCTTCCTACAGGCATCTTTATTTACAAAACATTTGGACTTCATTGACAAAGAAAAGATGAAATTTACTTTTGTGAATAGACCTAAACCCTGAATTAACAACATCAAAATTATTAGATCTGTGCAGCATGAATGTTTATCCATTCAAATAGTGTCTGTAACCTTGCTTGGGCCCGGGATCCAAGTCATTATGTTGAATTCTTTTCTCTCTCTACTTTTCAAATCAAGTTCATGGGCCTATTCTATGCCCTTGAAATCAAATTTTGCAGCCTCTTGGCTTTTCTCCAAAAGTCTCATTGTTTCACAAGCCATCCTTATTTTCAATTCATCCTTCCCGGTCCACTGTGTAAATAGGTGGACCTGCGTACTCAGGAGAAGTCGAACGCATTTGGTTGTTATTAGAGGAAGGATAGCTGACTCACACATGTAAAACATTAAAGAAATCTTACAAATGTTTGAGTGATGTTTTTTCTGTTGTTGTTGTTGTTGGAGGCTGTGGGGCATTTAACCGCTTCCTGCCAGGCACACTCAGGCTTCTCTCTGCATTACCAGGTATCGTTTTAGGCTAATAAAATAAACAAGGACACTATTTTAATTTTCTTTTCCCAGCATTTTTATTAGTTTACTTAAATGAAACATGCTATACACTGTGCAGCCTTTCGGAAGGTGGGAGGAGGGGGGATTCTATATTGTCACAAGGAGTCTCCCCAGGGCCAGCACTCCGATGGACACGCATTTGTGGCTGATGTACCTTGACATTGTGGTGAGGTGTGAAGGGGAGCACGATTCCCATAGAGGCAGAGCTCCTGAAATAATGATGCTTTTTAAAATATATACAATATTCAGGGCTGGAACTGCTTTTCCTTCAGTAGCACAATCCAGCTGCAAAGGGGGCCAGTATTCTGTCTCCATATCGAGCAAACATGCCATTTTTAAATGCAGGAGAGTCTCATTTCTCCTTATCTGACTTTCTGTGCTCGTGTGTGTGTGTGTGTGTGTGTGTGTGTGTGTGTGTGTATTTTGGGGGGAGAGGTAAGGGAGATGTTTTCTATTTTTGGCTTCTGCCAGCTTTGATACATTTTGCTGGAAGCTGTTTTAGTGTTTTGAGTACTATAATGATGACTGCTTACACGGTCTCCTTGGTAATCTAAACGGCTGTGTGAAACACGAATCCAGTTTGTGCCCTATTTGCTCTGACCGTGGTCATCTAATACTGTATTTGTCTCATCAAACGTTTAATTTGGGTTGTGGGTGGTCCATCTTCATATGTCAGGTGCAATTATTATTTTAAAATAAAAGAACCAAGATAATCTAGTTCTGATAGGAATGCATTACACTGCAGCTTGCAGACTCAGTTACCAATTGAATGTTAACATATAGATTCCAACCACAAAGATTAAACATTTTTTTAGTATCTCATTTGTTAAAAAGCAAGTTGGAAGGCAGGTACCATGAAAGTCAATGTTAGCCATAAGCCTATTCACTGTCTCAAATGCATTTCTTTTGAAATACCAACTTTTTTAAAAAAAATGAGAAAAAATGAGATCTTTTATAGGATTACTTTATGGGAAAGTTTCTTAATAAAGCTAATTGTTAAATAACAGATTAACTGGAAGTGCTGGTTAAACATTGACACAATTAAGGTATAAGAAAAAGTCACAAAACACCAGCCTTTCTAGAAGTTAAACTTTAGTAAAGAGACACATTTAGTGAGTCTTTTTCTTGTACCAAAATACCGTGTCCAAACAATAAAGTAAACAGGCCTTTTTAAAACAAGAACTATGAAGGTAAAATTGCAGCATCAATATACTTTTATATATATATCACTTGAAATAGTTAGAACAAATAGTCTTTTTCTACATTTTTAAAATCACTACAGACACTGCAAATAAGGCTTAAGTATTTATTTAGTGGAGTACAATGTGTGTTGACCGGTACACTCTTACATCCTGTTTTCTATACCTGCTCTAACAGAATGAATTTCGATATGGTTACATTATGGAACCTTCCAAAGCTCTTTGAATTTACAGAAAAGATGTTTTATTTGGTTTTGTAGAGACTAGATCATACAGCTTGAACAGGTTGTTCAGCATATGGTTACACATATACCAGGATATCTTTGCTCAGATTAAGGCCCTGGGAGAGTTGCACTTCGTACCAAATTCCTCGAGAGTTCCTTTGAGGGAGATGCACAAGGGGGACTTATAAAGGGTACTTACATACGAAGACAGCCTCGTCATCACCTACCACTGCTACAGGTGGCAGACAATCGTTAGTAAAAAATGAGGCTAGGCTACTAAGATGTATTTAACAACCAATTTTCCTTCTTTTATATATTCCTGGAGACCCATGGATGTATTGGAAGGGAAACATTTTAGCCTTCTGGTCTGTTTCTTAGGAAAGAAAGCCTTAGCAGTGATACATGTTTTTAAATGATGGCAGACATCTGTCACTCAAGCCATGCCCCCAGCACTGTCGTGTGGGAGGTTGACAGTTCTCATTGCAGAAGTGCAGACTAAGTCAACGGGTCGCCCCTGGGCACTCACAATGTCATCTCCTACTCTTGAAGTGTTTGCCAAGTTCTGAAATCACTTTGTCGTGAACATGCCTGTGGTGTGCTGAAGAAAAAGCAAAGGCCAGTCAGAGGGCAGCTGCTGAGGACACTCTTTAAAACCCCAAAAGATATTTAACATCCTATTAAATAAATAACTTAGAAGGAAATAGAAAGGGATGAAGGCAGAATGCACAAGCATACCATGCTATTTGCTTTGTTAGAACAGTTTTACACTAACATGTGTACATCTTTTAATCCTATCCAATGCTCCACGATGCCACGCCCAAAGCTCCTTTGGTTGTGCACAGAACATGACCCAAGTGCTTTCCAGTAAATGCTTGCGTGTCTTACTGCTCATTGAATCACTCGGCTGGAATGAGCAACGAAAGTCTTTGACATGAGTTCATATTCCATAAATAACTTTTCTGAAGATCATTCGACAGATTGTTCCATGTCCTTTAAGTTCTATCTCAGAGGTTAAAAAAACAAATAAAAACAAACATAAACAAAAACTTAACCAAGAAACCCAGCCACAATGTTGTTCATATAGGAGTAACTTCTATTCCGTTTGCTCCACCTCTATCTGGATTATAAGGCATGACACAGAACTAATGAAAGGAACATCATACATCAGCAGTGTGTACAAAAGTCTTTAAAGACTTTCTTTCTTTCAAGCAAGCAGATGCCTGCCATGCGTCTTTGCCTTTTGAGCTACTGTTTTCGTGAAGAATACCCACTATTCCTGGCCAAAGAGCCTTTGGTTCCACTGCACCCACAAGCCCTGGCTGCTTCTATGAGTGCACCACCATTGGGAGGAAATGAGCGGAGGTGTTTTTCCTTCGAGTTTTCTGTCCTCTCCTGGGAGCTCCTTTTCCATTCAAGGCCACGTACATCTGTCTCCCATTGTGCTGCCAGTTGAAGGATGCATAGGTGTTGTATCCATTTTCCTCTATCCTCTCCTTCAGCTTACAGTCATTGTTAAATTCTTTCTGCAAAGTAAAAACCAAAATCTTTTATTCTTATGTTAATGATACTTGGTTCCATTGGGCTGGAGCCAGCTGTAGAATTCTAGTTCTAGGGTTTGTGTGCTGTTGACATTTGTATGCAAGGTGTGCACTTAATAACACAAATTCAACAGCAGAGGGTAAAACTAATAACTCATAACTAAAAGCAGATTCTATGTGTGAAGACAGGTTATTTACTTTAATTGATCATCATAGACTCATACTGAGGCCCTTTTACAAAGCTGGCATGCCTTGAATATGATGTGGTTTAAGTACCTAGAATGATGATCATGAAATAAACATTCCACTAACAATATTTGTGATGAGTCAATGATCAAAAATAGTGTTATCCCCTCCACCCCCCAGAGTAATGACTAGGGTGCCTCATGGGTAAAATTGAATTATAAGAAAAAGGTAGGTTTTTCAAGTGTTTAAACTTTACCTATAAATCCACGATAAACACACCGACATTGATGAGAAAGCAGATTAATATTTCTAGATAACCATGCGGCTGGGAGAGAAATGAGTGTTTTTCTCTCTTCTAAACACCAGATTTCTCACTTCTGTAAAATTATTTACAATTGTCCATAATTTGGAATTTTGATAGGTTTTATTCTGAGATCTAGGAATGATGGAAAAGTAGGAGGGGGAAGGCCTTTCTTTGTGAATTACCATATCAGAGAAATTATAAATATGGTGACTAGCACTGGCAATGTTGTATAACCCTGAAGACTTTGATCTTGGGAAATTCCACTCTATAGCTATAGTGCTTTGGCTTTGTTTCAAGTGACCATGTGTTTTTAGGGGGATCTTTTGGGACAAGGATTGATGTCTTATTCATTCCATAAATCCAGGATCTCACTCTGGAGTTAATAATGAAGGGGAGGTGCCTCACTAATTTCTAGACTCTGGCTTCAAAAATGTCCTTCTTTCCTTATACCCAAACTAACACAGTCAAGAAGTTAAAACTTGGGACTTTTGCTCTTCTAGTTCTAACATTCTCCATCCAAACCAATGGCATTGTAGGCATCTCTCAGTTGACGGGTCTACTGGTCAGTTCAGATAGTTTCTCTCACCTCAGTACTTTTTGAAATTTCTACTTAATTTATAATTCTTGAACATGCGTATATTTAAATATCCAGGTTTATGTGGGCTAGATTGTAATTGTGAACATTAGCAGAATCAACATAAACAGGTATAGTTTATGTTGATGTGATTAGTTTAAGCTTTGTTACCTGGAATTAATTTATCCTATGTGAGTCTCTTCTATAAAGTAATATTTAAATGTGGTTTTCAAAGCAGATACGACCTTTTACATGAATAATTACATTCATTTCATTAAATAGGGTTCAGTTTAGACACTGGGAGGATAGAGAAAATTTTAGATAATTTTATATTTGAAACAGAGTTGTATAGAAAAGTGGTTATTCCCCCCCCCCCCGAAAAAATTTATACAACAATGCTTCTTAAAGTGAGGTACACCTGTTGCAGACCCCTCATCTCAGGCTTTTTAAAAATATTTAGACCATAGCTCACATGCTGTATCAGAGTCTCCACAGGAGGCCCTAGGAATCTATTGTTTATAGCATTTAGGTAAATCGTAAGTGTTAACGTGTTTTGTTTTGTTTTTTAATCTAGGCTAGAGCAAGATCTCAAAGTAGAGTCTTAGTTTAGAAAAAGGTTTTGAATTTCTTTAGGATACCAGGTACATTTCTTTGGTCCTTACATCAGGCCCTTTGAAGGCTTCTTCTGTTTAAATTCAGTTTTATAATTTATTTTCTTAATTCTGTCAATCAAGAGAAAACTAATAACACAATAGATGCATTGTTCAAAAAATGAATAATGAAAACATAAGAGGTATACATTTTCCCACAAGGAAATGGAGGAAACGATGCAAAAGAATAGAATATGGAGCTGTATTAATCAATGATTCTGGATGCCTAACTGATATTTTTAAGAAAGCTTATAAAATAAAATAAAATTGAAGACCGGAAATTATAAGGGTTGTCTCCTGACATACAGAATTATATTAGGTGTGTGCTCACGAATTTTGATGGCATACCCTTTAGATGCAAAGTTCCCAGACCTGTCCATCCTGAACAGGACATCCAATTTGAGGAGATTTTTTCATTTAATTTAAACAAATCATCATTTTTCACTCTTCCTAATGATAATGCCAAATCACAAGATGATGCACTATGGTTAGAGAATGGGTTTCTCTTTGAAACTGGCTGGAAGTGGAGAGCCTAGATTGTAATGAGCTGAGCTCACTGGAGAGGTAGTTAGGTTTACGCATTACACAGCTCAGTGGACGGCATGGTTCTAAGTGCTGAGGAAATAGTGGAGAACAAAGCAGATTCTGACCTCTTAAAGTTCACAATCTACTAGGAGAAGACAGTCAACAAAAAAACACATTAATGTGCCTGGCTGGTGTGGCTCAGTGGTTGAGCATTGACCTATGAACCAAGAGGTCATGGCTCAATTCCCAGTCAGGCCACATGCCTGGGTTGCGGGCTCAATCCCAGTGTGGGGCATGTAGGAGGCAGCCAATCAATGATTCTCTCTCATCAACTGGTATTTCTCTCTTTCTCTCCCTCTCCCTTTCTCTCTGAAATCAATAAAAATATATTAAAAGTACATTAATGAGAGAAATATATGATAAGAGCCATTGCAGGTCACTAAAAAGGGTGCTGTGATAGAAAGCACGGGACACCTATTTCAGATAGAGATAGAATGAATGAATTCATAGACCTCAGAGCTCAGAAAGAAACATAGGCACAGCACATGAGCTGTGTCGGGATAGAAAAAAATGTGGGGCAATGAGAGACAAAGTATTTAATACTTCTATGACATAGTTAATTTGAGAGTTACTCACTTCTCCTTGATGTCACCTTTTTAAAGAAGTATACTTTATCAATTAAAAATTATTTCAATCTTTTATTGCAATTACAGTATTTTACATTTTCTCCCTCAATCTAAACTCGTATTAGCTGGCTTTACTTTAAAGCATTGGTTTTGTCTGAGTGTGTATATCAGTAGCTCTTTAAAGAATATACATACACTTGGTCCTCTCACCCAGTAAACCTGGTAATAGATTTAGGAGAGACCTGGGCATATTCATTGAAAAGAAAAAGAAAAAATGCCTCAAAGATGAGTATGTTGTGAACCTCTAAATAGAGTCACTTTCTAAAATACTCTATTACTCTTCTAGGCTCATTAGTAGAGCAACATATATTGGAAATTTTCAACTAAAATTTCTCTGACTCCCCCCACCCCAGCCAAAGGTACCGACCCAATGTATGTCTGACTCTCCAGTTATAAGTGGACCTGATAGGAATGAAATACAAGGCTGTTCTATACCCAGACCAGTTATGGAATCAAGTTCCAATGATTCTCAAATTGTGGTTCCCAAACCAGTAGCAGCAGGAACACCCAGGACCTTGTTAGAAGGGCAAATTCTTAGATCCTACCTAGATGGACTAAATCAGAAAATCTGGGAGTGTGTTTTCATAAGCCCAGTGATTTGAACACATGCTCAAGTTTGAGAGCTACTGGCACTCCCATCCTGATGTTCATCAACAAAAGAAGTTTATGTACACATTTTAAAGTGATATTTCCTGATTCTGGCTATGGAACACGGGGATGTATGTAACCAAAGCACCGGCTGGATACCAGCTCCTTAATGGAGTTAATCACTATTGTCTGGGTAGATAAAATTCTGGAGTTGACTGCATGGCACACAAAACGATACATTTTTTGATATGTCTCCCAATTTCAGATTTTAACAGAATACAAAACACCCAAGTCTCTGTTTCATCTTCAGCTCTAACACAGACACATTATATGGTTTTCTACTCAAGATTTTTGTTTTCAGTGATCCTTTCTAAGTTGTCTGCAGTGCCCATGCCAGTTTGACCAGATGCTTCCGTGAGAGTCTGACTGGTGAGCAATCCAGAACATTGACTGACGGACGCCAGCATCAGCCTGTGTGGTAGGCTAATGGGTGAACAACAGAGATTATAGAGTTGGAAGAGCTACCCTGCCAGCCCTTGAAACTGTGCTGAGCAGCCCACTGTGGCTCTATTTACTAGCAATGGAACGATAACAAAGCTATTCAATGTCTTCGGGAAACAGTCCAAAACTGTGGTAGTAATTTACTGCAGTGAATTTTGAAAATGAAAGCAGAATACTTACTGAGCCATAGAGTTTCCCCCTCTTGTTCATGGCTAAATAATAGTTGCTGTTAATGGCTTTGACTGCAACAACTCCGATTTCAACTGAAGTTATCTTCAGGATACCTGAAACATACAATTACAAAAGGCTACACTTAAAGGAGTCACATACATTCAGTTGAGAGGAAGAAAAATGAGAAGAAATGACTGAGTTTATTTTTGATGGTTCTAAAACAAAAATATTTTTTTTAAAACTTGGAAATAAAATGCCAGCTTCTTTCAATGTGCCTGAAAACCCAGAAGCTGTATAAAAACAGGTAGTAGTTCTTTAAAAGAATTCCCCTGTATTTTACTCTGAGAATATGGGGAAATATTGTTTCAATTAAAATGCTTCCTTTGCTAACTCTGCATTTTCAACCCCATAAATATTGAAACAACTCTACTCATCTTAGCCTAGATTTCACAGAAACTTATCAGAGCGCACATCTGTATTATGGTATTAAATTAAATCTGTAGCATATGTCAGTAATATGTCAGATTGGCCTCAATCTGTAAAAACAGTGGTAAACTATTTCTTCTTTGTAGGACACGTAGATAAACTAAATCTTTTGCCTACATTTAACTGATAAATTGATTTTCGGCAAATGTGTTGACATTTTGAGGTACAGAGTGACTAATCCCACACCCACATTATCTTTAACATAGCAGGATTACTACTCTGGTTTGGGAGGAAATCCATCAGCACTTTTAAAAGTTTTCTTTATTTTTCTGGAAAGAATGGAAAATTTAAGTTTTCAGTTGTTGTTTTTTTGTTGTTTGTTTTTGTTTTGTCTTGTTTTGTTTTCTGGAAAGAATGAAAAACTAAGGGAATTAGTAACTGATAGACAAGAGACCTTATCCCCTAATACACAAGTTTTGATTGGTGCATCTAGAGATACTTTTCTCTGAAAAGTTTCTAAGTAATGAGAGAAAAGGCATTTGATATTCTACTCAAAATGCCCACCTATTTTAGGTTAAGTAGGCCTTGGGTACTCACTACTTACTTCTTATTTTATGACTCTTGGGAAAGCTTTCTCAGGGTAGGAAGCTGCACTGTGATGATCAAACGCCTCTGGACCCAGAGTGACTGGGTCTGAATCCCAGCTTCACATTTACTGGTCAATGACTGTAGCAGACGTCACTGAACTGCCTGGCATCTCAATTTCATTTGTAAAATGGGCAACATAAGAGCAACTCCCTCATATTCTTGTTGTGAGGATTAAATCAGAGATACATATTAAATAATTAAAACTTGCTTAGAGCTTAGTGACTTCTTAATTATTATTAGAGTGAAGTTTTCCTCTAAGAGTTCCAGATTTTGGAATTTCTTCCTGAACAGAATCCACAAATTCCTACGGGCTTAGCCCATACAATCTGGACGTTGATCATATGTTATTATTCATCACATATTACCTGGCGTAAGAAACACCATCCTGAATGTCATTGACAAACTGTATTTATACTCTTCCCAATGGGAAAGAGAGTGGCTTGTTTTCAAGACATGGATGGCTCCCTTTCTTTCACACGTTGATGAGCCATGTGGAGGTCAATAGACAACACTTGCATTCCCCCAGGCAAAGTTGGCATAACCAGAAAGACTTGTGCCAGAACTACATGCCAGGGACCATTCTGTCCACGTATCCTGAAGGAAGCCTCCGGCCTGACACAGCATTCTCTCATTAATAGAGTAAGATCAATTTTTATTGACAAACTCAAACTAAGGAAAGATGATGAAAGGTGAAGGAGACTTTTAACATCTATTTTCTTTACACTGGTAGTTGCCTTCAAGGTATGAACTCCCACACACACATTCATTTACATATTGTAAGACATACTTTTCTGCAGTTTATTTCTTTAGTTCTCATAACAATCCTATAAGGAGGTATTGCTATTTTGAGTTGCAGATGAAAAAAATGGAGGATACTGAGGTTATATAACTCACATGTAAGGTCATTCAACAACACAGGCCAGGAATGATGTATCCAACATTTGAACCTTGGCTTTTAGAATATCTTGCTCAGAATCTCTGACTATTTTGCCTCTACATCATATCTCCCCACTCTTTCCTGTTTCAGGAATCCTGTTGGAAAACCATCTGACAAAATGACTCATCAAGATAATAGTGTTTAACAGGAATACCACAGAGGACAATGTCTGATTTTAAGAAAAAGAAATCTAATGGACTTTATGTCATAAGCAGAAGATATGGAGCAAGGCAGATGCTAGGAATCTTGGGCAAAATATTTAGACTGCTATTTACTTTGCCTGTTCAAGAGGCAAGTAAACACTGCCAGTAAATTGCAAGGTGTTCCCTATGTTTGTATGATTTTTTAACTGGAAACTGTTAGAATGAAAAAGAATGAAGGATGATTTTAGCAAAAACTTTTTAAGGTGAATGAGAAGTAGTGGGATTAAACTGTAGTAACAGACTAAGTTGGGAAGAGGAAACGTGCTGTGATATAAATATTACTAAATCCTTGACTGATTATTTCTGAGAGTGTATTGCACATGGTAGAGCATATTTAGCTTGGAAATCTGTGGGTTTCATTCTGCTTTGCACAAAATAGGAACTCAATATTCAAGAAATTCATCAATCAATTCACCTCTTATCCCACTCTATGACTAGTTAAAGCTCGCCTGGAAAGGTCTATATACTTCAAAATAGAAAGAGGGAAGACGTAGGTGATGTAAGATTCATTCAAATTCTGAAAATAATTTTTTGGATACATCATATGTTAGTAAGTCATAATTTGATAATCTTGTGGGTGATGGACAATGACTGCTTTTGTTACAAATATCTTTGAATGTGAGAGTGATTTTCTGAGAAACTCCTCAAGTCCAGAAGACTTCTCTATTTTTCATAAAGAATCTCTCCAGTGTTCTCCGTTCTTTGGTGAGCATGATCAAGTTTGCCAATACAAGTATTTTTGGAAAAGAGCACTAGAATTTTGTTTGACAATTTTTAGAGTAATAACTTATAGCTCTATATGTGTATACCTTGATGTAAACTTAAATGTCAACTGAAGGACAGCTTCCTTGGAGAAATTAAGGGAACAGCATACAGAATCTCTCTGTATTTCTCACAACTGATGTAAATCTACAGTTATTTTAAAATTAAACTTATAAAAAGCACTGTTTTGTCACTAAAAGAAACTAGGACCTGAAAATTATATCATCAATAGAAAGAAACATAAATTATATTTCCCATATATTTAGATATTTTGTAAATTTAGACATTCTTATAGTGAAATTCTGTCATTTATATTAAGTTGTAACCACATCAGTTTTGCTATCTCTCAAAAGATGAATATGACAGGTGGCATTGTGAATCGGTTTAAGGGCTTTTGAACAGTTTCATACATAGGAAGACCTATGAGGAGAAGGGCACCCTTTTGGGAAATGATAAAAAGTCAAGTTATGGCTCTCCTCTTGCAAAGTCTATGTTTTATTGGGAATATAAGACAAATGCAGAGAGAATTCCAATAAAACATATGAAGTGATAGTGAGTACTTAAATGGAAGACAAGGGAGGCAAAGATGAAGGCAATTCATATTGGCTGAGGTTCCAAGGCAGACCAATTATGGGAAATGAGACCTGAACTGAGTAAGAGATAACCGAGGAAAAGGAGAAGACATAAGCAAAACATTATGGTGAACAATATGGTGTTTTCAGAAACAAAATTATAAGTTTTATTTACCAATTAGAGTAAAAGGAATAAGGCAGGAAGTTGTAAGAAGTGAGGTTAGGAAGTTAAGTCAGACTTAAGTTATCAAGAATCTTGTATGGAATTTAGGCAAACAGGAATATTTTACCTAAAAATATATATCTTTTTAAAGAACATATTAGAAAAAGCCAACATTTAGCAAATCCCTTTTAGTAAATAATAGCAATCTGTAAAGTTTATTCTGAATTATATTTGAAATCCTAAATAGTAAAGCTTGATAATCAACATTACAAAGTGATTGTGACATCAATCAGCTCCTATTAATGAGCAAATTATACCTAATGATGCATCATCACTATAGTAATGGGGAGGATTTTGTAAACTGTTCCAAATGGAAATAACCTAATAGTTGTAATTTTCATGTAAGTCATCTTTTCTTTGAAATTGCAGGGCATGCTATGTTTTGATGAATGCTTGAATAATAAATCTAAGGAGGTGGCCATTCACAAGTATCTTTCCTAGCTTATGATTTTCATTTCTAGGAGGGTAACATCTGACCCATTTTCTCCCCAGCAAATCATTGAACCAAGATGATTTGGGTTATTAGAATAAGCAAGCTATTGTACTGAATAGTAACTTTCTCCTTAAATATTTTTTTCATGGACACAACAGGAGAAAGTAAAAGACAAAGAAAACTTTAATAAAATGGATAGATGGGGAAGGTAGATGTAAACAATAAATGCAAAGACCTATTAATCTTTTTTAGATAAACAGAATATGAATAGAAGAAGGAATCCTAAAGATGATTCTGCTAACAGGTATTAAGTACAAATGTGCAGGGTTTGTGTTGGCTCTCACTCTGGAGGGGGAAAAGACAAACAACACAGTCTTTACATTCAAGGAGTTTTAAAGCTGAGTAGGATAATGACACAAAAAACTAAAGTAATTGCAATACAAAATATAATAAGTGTTATATCAGAGGGAAAAATGTGCTGTTATGGCTTTAAGTAGTAAAGAAGTCATCCTAAAAAAGGTGTTGGTGTTTGATGTGAGCCTTTCAGGAGTAGGATTTTAATAGGTGGGGATGTCTAAAGTTGAGGGGGATATTCTGGGCAGAGAAAAGTAAATGAGTAAAAACAGGCACAAGGAGGGAAGAGAGCTCAGCATGTGCATGAACCACAGTTGGCTTTACCACCAACTGCACTTAGTGGGGCCACTCTCCGTAAAAGTGAGGGCTCTACTTTGTTGACTAACAGTGGTGCTTTCCTGGGTGAGGAATCTACTGTTCAAAAAATCAGTTGTGAAACTTGGAAGCATCTCAATAAATGTCAGAACCTCACGAATTCAGAATCAATCACGTCTGTTATTTTTCTCTAAACATTTTAACTCAAAATACATTATGATGCTATATAGTCTGATAGTT